CATCTATAAAGGTGACAAACCATCGAGTACCAGACACATTTGGAATATTAGAAGGTCCCCATACATCAGTATGAACAAGATAAAAAGAGAAATTGCTAATTCTATTACTTATTGGAAAAGATATACGTTTGTGCTTAGCAAGTTCACACACCTTACAATGAAGACTCTCAACATCTAACTTGGTAAACAGAGAGGGAAATATAATTTTGATCACTCCAAAAGAGGGATGTCCCAACCGACAATGATAAAGCATGATTTTTTCTCTGTTGGTCATCAAGGATTCGAGATATGAAGGAGTGAGAGATTCTATTCTTCTTGAGCGAGACTTGGATCTTCGAGATAATAAAGGCCATTCCATTCTCTAGCATGTCCAATCATCCTCCCCGAATCCTTATCCCGAAATACACAATGATCATTGGAAAAAACAACTTTACATGACAAATCCTTTATAAGTTTTTGTATAGACACTAGGTTCGTGGACAACTTTGGGACATGGAGAACGTCTTTTAAGGTTATTAAAGGATTGATTTGGATATTTCCTTGACCAGCTGCAGTTATAAGGGTTCCATCTGTCTGTGGCAATTTTCTTGTTCGTTGGGACATGGGGAATATGTGGAGAAGTGTTTGGCTAATGGTGTCATGTGATCTGTGGCTCCAGAGTCCAATATCCAATAATGGTTAAAAGGCGTATCCGAGACATTTAATCCAAAAGAAGGTGGAAACTTACCCGAGTATGCCAAAGAACACATACCTGTAGGTTTTTCCGACTTACTAAGAATGGTTTTCACCCTTTCTATCTCCTCTTCCCTTGACATTATAGCAAAAAGGTGTGATGCAACAACAATGCGAGTGCATCGTCTTAGGATTATGAAAAATGCAGCGAGCAATGCAGTGCTGTCGTCTTAGGATTAAGAAAAATGCAGCGAGCAATGTAGGCTGCCGTCTTAGGGTTAAGAAAAATGCAGCAGCAATGCAGGCTGCCGTCTTAGGGTTACAAAATATGCAGCAGCAATGCAGGCTGCCGTCTTAGGTTACAAAATATGCAGCAGCAATGATTTTTTATTATTTCAATACAAAGAGATGATATAAGATATATACAAGAGACCTAAACTATTTTAGGAAATATAATAACTCTATTTTATGCTAGGATCCCTTGATTTATGGGATTGTTCCTAGTTATTCAAATCTGTACAGATTACAAGGAAATATACAAATTTCCTTATTTATTCTTTCCTAAAATACTATTTGATTTCTCACAGTAATAGAAGACACTGAGGATAGAAAAAAACAATAGGAAGGCGATAATTAATGATAACTAAGAAAATTATAAGTAGGATGTTGGTTTCGAGTGGAATGAGTACCTTTTCTAAGATCATGAGTCAGCCTGAATTTTCTTCATCAAGAGTTTTGGTATTGGGTGACGATGGAGAAGAATTTGAAGTAGAGGATTCACCTTGTTCTTGGATAACTGGTCTAGTTATTTGGGTCCCATGGATATCAATAGCTGGAGGACTTTGACCAGACTAGGATTAGTAGAGATACTGGAATTAGTGGACTCGACTAATGGTATAGGAAGGATCTACCGAATGACATGCACATCTTGAACGGATGAAGAAAAATAAGGAGTCTCTTCAAATAATGTAACATTAGCATATATATAATACTTCTTGGTTTCAGGAGAGTAAAACCGGTACCCCTTTTAAAGTCGAGAATTGCTCAAGAAGACACATTTGATCGCACGAGCAGACAACTTGTCCAACTCTGGAGACATGTCATGAACAAAACATACACAACCAAATACCCGGGGAGAAATGTGAAAGAGAGGATCATTTGGAAAAAGAATGGAGAAAGGGACCTTATTATTGAGAGAGGAGGATGACATCCTATTAATAAGAAAGCATGCATTTAGGATGACATCCCCCAATGATGGACAGTAATATTTGCACCAAGTAATAGGGTACGAACAATCTCAACTAAGTGTCTATTTTTCCTTTGTGCTATACCATTTTGTTGTGGTGTGTGAGGACAAGTGGACTGATGTAATATACCATGCAAACTCAAGGTTGCAGAAAAATTGGATGAGAAGTACTTTTTGGTATTATCACTTTTTAAAATTTTGATTACTTGGCCGAATTGGCTCTTGATTTCATTCAAAAAGGATGTGAAGATAGACAACAATTCAGTACGGTCTTTCATAAGATAAACCCAAGTACATCTCGAGTATTCATCAATGAATGTGATAAAATTTTTAAAACCAAAAGAAGAGCGACTAGGTCCCCAAATATCAAAGTGGATAATAGAGAAACTAGAATTACACCTTGTTTCAGATTTTTTAGGAAAGGTAGATCTAAGATGTTTTCCTAATTGACAGGACTCACATTCTAAGATCTGGAGACTACTAAGCTCGAGGACCATTTTTTTTAACTTTGACAAATGAGGATGATCTAATCGTTCATGTAACAATTTAGGATTTGGGGCTGCAACACAGGAAACATGTGGATTAGATCCAAAATGGTATAAACCTCCAGCTTCATATTCTTCTCCAATTCGTCTCCCCGAACCACGCTCCTGTATAATAAAAGACTTGTTATCAAAGGTTATTGAACAATTTAACGTTTTGGTTAACTGACTTAATGAAATTAAATTGAAGGGACCATTAAGGACAAAAAGGATAGATTTTAGAATTAGGGAAGGAGATAAGGAGACTTGACTGACTCCCTTTGAGGAAACTTTAGTGCCATTTGCCAGGGTTATGAAATGATGTTTTTTTTGAAAAGAAAGAGATGTGAAGAAAGAGGTATTACCGGAGATGTGATCAGAAGCACCTGAGTCTATTATTCATGAATTTTGACCTTCCATGGATTAGGAAATACAGGCTGTTGATGTACTCGGAGTTTCAGATGTTTGTGCCAAGTTGTTAGATTTTAACTTGACATACTCTTGATATTCTTCCTCAGTGAATCTGGAGTTGACAGTTTCATCCTTAAAGACATTGGCTGTCTTGGCAGAAAAATCGTGCAAGGAGAAGCCGTTTTCTTGAGTGTGACCCATCCTTTAACAATATGTACATTGAGGACGCGCTCGGCTACCAAATCCTCTCCTAGTGCCACATCCACCTCTTCCTTGTGTGGCAACCATGACAGATGGTTCTACCGGTTCATGAACTTCCTTGCTTTGAGACGTTGGGACTCGAAGGAGGCGCGTGGTCAAGCAATCCATGGAAGGGACCTCATGATTGGTAAGAAGTTGATCTTAGAGATGATTAAAGTCTGGGTGTAAAGCTCGGAGGATCATCATCATATAATATTTATCAAGTTTCTTCTTGATTTCATCCAAAGATTCTACTTGCAAGAACATCTTTAGCTCTTCAACGGTAGATTGCGCTTTGGTCATGAAGGATACCATATCATGGTCAGTTTGTTTGAGAGATGCAAGTCTGTTGTCATAATCATAGAGACGTTGAATATCATTTACATAAATGTCTTGAGCTTTCTTCCAAATAAGGTGGCAAGTTTTAAAGACTCTAAGGGAAATCAAAAGCCTTGATTCCACAGTTTGCCATAGCAGGGCACACAGCTGGAAATCAACTTACTTCCACTGATCAGTCTTTTCAGGAGGCATATGACTTCCATCTTTCTCAAGGCGGTCATGATGACCTTAGCCAAGGAACCATATTTCGACAGATGCAACCTACAAAAGGTAATTTTTTTCCATTTAGTTTCTCGGAAGTAATGGAAGGACTTCTAGAGAATGAAACAACAACTCCGGTAGCCATTGTTGTTGATAGAGAGCTAGAAAACAACTAGGGCAAAGAGACCCCTATGGTGACCTTCTCTAGGATAGTTTTTGGACTTTGTCAAAATGAAGTTTTGAGGGTCAGAACAGGAAGGGAAGGCTCCGACGATATCCACAGAGGTGGCGCGACAATGTTCATACGAGGAGAGGGCAGTGCGTGCTAAGGAACTGGCTTCCGAGACCGGTAGGGTTGGCCGTCGCTCAGAGAGGCGATCTATATCCGGTGGTCACCGGAAGAGACTGTGACGCTGGACGGTGACGTATGGTGGCTCCAGAGATGACTGAGACAGGCATAGCGGGATCAACCCGCTCTGATACCAACTTAACGTTAACAGGAAAATATAGTTTGGAGGACTTAATCACCCCTCTTAATCATCTTCTATTTATATTGAAAAGTTTGATACAAGAGAGCATAGAAGATCTAAGGTCGCACTAGACACCTAGGTATAAAACTAGGTACAACAATAGGACAACTGGTAGATGTTTCCAAGACACTAACCCTTGCTCAGACTTAATGATTACACATAGATTCAATAATAATTATTCTAACAGTAACATAGTTTCATGGAGTTATGGTGTCTTCATCTTAGAATTTGATTAAAATGATATAAAAATTAGTCAGTATCACAAAATTACTAAACAAGACAATTATAACCAATAACCAATAACAACAAAGAAACATGATACTTTACAATATATATAAAATTAATAAGAAAAAAAAAACATGAGGTCTGAAAAGTGAAAAGAAACAAGGCAACATGAAATTAGAAAAGGAAAAAAAAATCAGAAATGCAAAGAAAAAAACAGAATGGAAATAAGAAACTTGATATGTTACTACACTCTTATACTGTTTTCTCTTTGTATCTGCACCAGAAATAAACTCTTAAGAGGAGGAAAGAAAGATGTACAAAAGAGGAAAGTTATTCCCCTATAGAAACAAAAGAAATGTGGAAACTAGAGATACAAGAAAAACACATTAAATAGCAAAGATTGTCAATGTCTTTGTATATTCAACAAAGAAACCCTCTGACTTAATATAGTTGATTGTGCCAAGGAGCTCTTAGGCATTTTGATTTCATGCGTGATACATCTCTTTTTTTTTTTTAATATTTTAATTTTTTTATTTCTATTTGAGAGTGTTCTGTTTAATTTTATGCCCATCTCTGAACTATATGTGTAATGCTCTTGTTTTGCTCCTCATGCAGACGTTCCTGTCAAGGGGTTGTGTAAAGTGACCACGATGCCAATAGACATATCACATGGAGATAAATTAGAGTCAGGTTCAAGTAAGTTTAGGATGGAAAGGTCAAAAACAGAGAGGCTGAGACACTTAAGTCCTGAAGATGCAGCACAAATTTTTGATGACAAAATTCCTGTCCAGGAGAAGGTATATTGTTTTATTTCTTTCACGTTTTACCCAGTACTTGATAAATATTTTAATTTATTTTGGTAAATTCTTGTGCATTGATTGGATAGTGGATTTGGTATGAAAGATGAAGCAAGGAAATTGATGTTATTATTATAGAAGTGTTTTGATATCTATAAATATAGAAATGTGTAAAGCAAGAATTAGGAATTTTTTTACTTTCCTTGTTTTATAAATAATTTTTTTATTAGGGTCCATAACACAATAAAGTTTCCTACAATCAATTATGCTTGTCTCTTCCTAGATATTCAAACCATACCTTATTTCAGAAATAACTATATTTTTGTTTAATTGAGCCACATCAATACCGGAGGCATCCAAGGTCTTTGGTCAAAAAATGATTTGCATAAACATATTTTCAATTTGGAAATTTTGGCAGCATCTATGTCTATTGTAACTATATCATCAATATTCACAATTAAGTAAACACAGTTAACTAGGAGAAGTTTGATTATAGAAAACTGAATGATATGCAATTCTAAAACTATAAAACCTTCACAATCTGACCAAATTTCTTAAACCAAGCTCGTGGAGATTGCTCCATATATATCTACTCTTCAAGATCACCATGAAGAAAAACATTTTTGATGTCTAACTAATGAAGAGATTAATGACAAATAATTGCAATACCCATTGACTGCTGAATAGTAGTAATCTTGGCCATTGGAAAAAAAGTGTCTCCATAATCAAATCCATATAGATACTAGTCTATCCTTAAGGTTAACAATTTCACTATTTGGCCTAACTTTAATAGTGTAGACCCATCTACGTCCAACTATTTTTCTTCCTAGTGATAGAGGAACCAACTCTCATGTGCCATTGTTGTCGCCATTTGGGGTGAGCCAGTGCTTTATTGATATCTTTATAAACAATACAAAGACAAAGAAAAAACAAAGGAGACATATGAAGGAGCAAACCAATGAATAACTTAAAAAAATTGTAAATAGGATAAGGATTTTAGGTAGATCAAATGCCTTTTTGAAGAGCAAATGGTCAACAAGAATCTTCATCATTACTTGAAATCATGGTACGGGTAAGTGAGGGAGAAGGACATTGAGCAGGATCACCATGTAAAAGCTCCTTTTATTTGTGTTGGTAAGTAATGTGATGTGGTAAAGATGGAGAACTTGGAATGTATCCAGGTTGGGATGGGGAGAAGAAGATACAATGTATCAAAAAATGTTATAGGTAAGACTTGTAGGACAAAAGTAACATCTTGCATGGGATATTGTGTTTGAAGGAGGATACTTGCAAGGGAGCAACTTAGGCAACTGCTAGCAAATCAAGAAGAACGATCATGTAAGGCATAACACAGATCAATTCTGTGACCAAATTTGTGACATTGTTCACATTTGTGATATACTTTGCTTGACTTGCGAGAGTGATTGCAATCATCATGCTGAGATACCAATGTTGAAGAGTCATCAGATGAGACTGAAGAAGGTATTTTAGTAGTTGTCTTACCTGGCACACACAATAGGGTGGAACAAGTGGAAATAAAGGTAGGTACAATTGGGGAAGCCAAAATTTGATCACAGCCATGTGAATCACTAGGAAGTCCATGTAATACCAATAACATGTAACACTTTGATTGTTGCTCTAGTTCTTGAAAAGGGGTGGAGACAAGAGGCAATAACTCATTGAAGTCATGGAGAAGAGCATGAACTTTACCCAAATATTCAGCCATTGTACTCTCAAGACATCTGGGAGCAACAATATTTAGGATATTTTGACAAATACTATAAAGACGTTGAGTATTATTGGTGTGCAACAGTTTGGCCTGTTCCCAAACTTTTGAACATGTCTCATAAACACAAAATATTTGTTTCAATGATGGACGAATAGTAGACTTGATTACAATGCATAAATAAGAATCAATTTCAACCAACGGGAAAGCTCATTTTCAGCAATAGTAGCCACACTCTTAATAAGATGATCAACATACAAGAGAGAGAGAGGCATAGACTGAATCCGTAATGTGTATTGGATAAGAATCTACAACGTACTAGAATGCCCTTGTTGACGATCCTTTACTCCGGTAGCATCTAGGGTTCCTCGAACAATGTGATATCTCACACCAGGTAAATCTTTAACCCTCCCCCTCTTACTAGGACTACAAAATGTTCTTGTAAATTATGACCAATACTGGGTATATAAGCAGTAATTTCAAATTCAGAGGTTAAGCGTATTCTGACAACTTTACGTAAGGCAGAGTCGGGTGTAATAGTGGAAAAGTTGACAGATAAGTCACCCTTACTGTCACTCTACATAACCGTACTCCTACCATCGAAGCTAACTAGCCTGGCCCAACATGTAAACTTTCTCCAAGAGATGGGCTTACCGCCTCAACCGTGTCGAAGGCATTACAACTATAGTACGCGACCTCAAAAATCAACATCTACATCCCATCGCTACCCTTTCAGCCCTTTAAATAAAATTAAATAAATGTTGATCTTCCCGCATGAGGGTGATCAACGTTCTCGTTCACGAAGCCAACTGAGTAGCTCATGGGAAGGAGCATGTGAGGGAGAAGCACATAGGATTATGCATTTATAAATAGGAATTACAAAGAGATGGGTCTAAGCACGGTACATCTAACAATATGTAAGAATCCTACTATGTAAAAGCCTCCAAAGAATAAAAGTCTTACAAGGGGAATAAGCTTTATTGTGTATCTTCTCTACATCCAAAGGGATAGTAATCTGTAAAATCTGTTTAATAGAATCTGGTAATCAAAGTAGGAATTCTCCAAAGAAGAGGTTGTATTGACAAATCAACTCCCATCATGTCAGCCACAGGTTCAGTCAGCCACAAATCTATCCAGAATCTACTAAGATGACCAATACCAACTTGCCAACTTACATTAGCTTTTACTTGAGGCAGGATATTCTTAATACTATAGAAGGTGACTCTATCTGTGTCTACTTTGTACTTCTAGGTAGTAGGTGTACTCATGTTATTTCTGTTTATCTTTTCCTCTGTAACATGTTTTATTTATATATATACATTGTTAAAATAAGAGAGAGGCATAAGCTGAATCCTTAATGTGTAATAAGCACATAGGGTTGTTTATTTATAAATAGGAAAATACATAGGTAAAAGAAAATACAAAGATGTGGGCCTAAGGCCATTACATAAAACACACACTCAAGCTTTCATATAAACACACATACACTTACCTGAAGAGCTTCAGGAGAACTTGTAATAAATTTCTTCTTCACATAACATGTTCTTTACTATAATTACAAGTTGTAACTGTAAGGAGTATTTTTACTTGCAGCATATCATACTCCACACATTAAATAGTAACAATAAACTATGCCATGCAATGTTTATGAATAACAGTTAAAAAACACTAAATATAATAAGATTGACTTTTTCAACATTATCATCATCATTATTTCTTTAGTTTTCGTTTTAATCATGTATGGCTGGTACTTCAGTTGATTTTTACAACTGTGCAGCTTAAATTGTTGAACAGAATAGCTACTGTAAAAGATGATGGAACTGTAGAATTTGAAGTTCCTGTAGATGTTGAACCTGAGGCAATTGTTGCTCAATCCAAGCAAGTAAATCATGTTGTTGATGATTCTCTTGATGCAACAGACTTTCATTACATCCCACCATTGAATATAGTAATACTTATTGTTGGTACACGAGGAGATGTGCAACCCTTTATTGCAATAGGGAAACGCTTGCAGGTATAGAGGCATTTTCTTATGTCCTAGTTTTCTCTTTGCCTTCTTCAATAATGCATACACACACAAGCACCTGTGGAGATTTGTTGCCTGTGTTAAAGTAGGTGAATGATTGTATCTATAGAGACATCTTATTACATATCAGTTTTCGATTCTTATGTATCTGTTAGAAATTAGAACCATTCATGCACACGTGGAGATTTGTGGGCCTTTGTTAAGGTGGCAAATGATTGTATCTGTGGAAACACTTATTATGTTTATATTTTCCATTTCTTATGCATCTGTTAGAACTAGTACCATTAATGAAGCATAGTCCATGCATAAGGTAGGGTGGTCCAGTGCATTGCCCATGCTTCAAGTGCAGAATGCTTGTGTGAGGAGACTTTTTTGATCTATAACGTTTCATGACTCTTCACCTAATTAGTTTTAACTTTTTGGAATGTTGTCTGTTGACAGAATGCATGCACTAGTGTTATTTTTTTCCTTATAAAAATGTTCTACTAACTAAAGTTAGAGAGAAATCTAGAAATATGTGATGATAAAATGATTTCTATATGTTCTCCAAAGAGGAATTACACAGGTACAGGACTGATACAATAGTCTAAAAAGGAAACAAATAATTCCTAATACAAAAAACATCTCCTAAACTTTTTCCGCATTAATATTCCTCAATTTACGGGATTTAAACTTGCTATAATATTTACATTTAATACATACTATTTAGAAATCAACAAAAAACAGTCAATCAAGCAAGAGAAAGGAAATATTACAAATACATACATAATCCATGTTTTGGAACTGCTCGTTCACTTGGTTCTGATATATGTGGCAGGTATATTACTATATATTATGTTCTTTGTGGCTTCACATTTCTATCATTTACTAATTGGAATTTTCTATTTTCTGGTTAAAATATTATCATTGAATTAATAAATGTTTTAGTTTATTTATTGTTGGAGGAAAATATATGAACTGAATAATTTGTATTTAAGTTATTTTCAATTCAAAGTGGATTACTTTTTAATTGTTTCTCTAAGTGCAGGATTATGGCCATCGGGTTAGATTAGCAACCCATTCAAATTTTAAGGAGTTTGTTTTGACAGCTGGGTTGGAGTTTTATCCTTTAGGCGGTGATCCAAAAGTTCTGGCTGGTTGTATGTACTATCTACCCATGTACTAGTTTCTTCTTTTACTGACTGAACGACTTTGTGCATTGTATTCTTAATTTATTCTCACCCACATGCGTTTTTATTTTATTTTTTATTTTTATTTGGTCATGTGAAAGAAGGAATTTTAATAATAATACTTTTAGCTCAGAAATAATTAATACTCAAGCGACTACTCAAATCAATAAGTTTTTCTTTTAAACCAGTAATTTATTCTTTTTGATAATCATACTAAGTCTTAAATTAAATTATAATACGAAACACTTGACTCGTAAATTTTTTTCACTTGTCAATGTGATACATTGGGGTACTAGAAACCATGTGGTTTGTTTATGGTTTTGGTGTGTTTTTGATACATGAAGTTGTTTGGACTTTATGCTAAATTTTGTGTGGGATGTTGCATTTGTGCATTAAGGTGTGCCCTTTTTTATGCATGACTTCATAATTGATTCTTGTTGTTGAATAACATGTTTTACGCATGTTAATATTTGTAGATGCTAGTTATTATAAATTAGAGATTTTATTAATCCCTTTTGTATGTATAATTGCACCCTAATTATTCATTATAAATAGGTTTTCTAATGTATAAAAAAGAAGAGAAGCATTGGCCTAAAACCGTGTGTTTTTGTGACAACATGGGTGATTTATTTATATTGAAAAAGAAATCCATTCCATAAATAGAGGAGATTTGATATCCTCCAATAATATAGATATAATCTTGATATTTTTTTTATTATACAGATATGATAAAGATATGATCATGATATATGTAATAATAAAGATATGATTCTTATTTCTCTAACTATAACACTTCTGTCAAGCTAGAGCATTTAAGTTATATGTGGTTAGCTCGCAGCAAATAATGATTAATCATTGGTCCTCTTCGAGATCTAGTGAATATGTTTGCTGACTATTCACTAGTGTTGACAAATCTAGTAATGATATCTCCTGACTCCGACCTTTCTTGTATGAAATGACAATCCACCTTAATATATTTAGTTGTTTCATGAGATACAACATTAGACATAATATTTATAGCTATGTCATCGTCACATATAAGGTGCATTTGTGATTTTTTTCAAATTTATCACTTTGAGAAGTTGCTTTATCCTTATAAGCTCATATGTGACTAAAGCAAATGATATGTATTCTGAGTTTGCACTTGATCTTGCCATGATATTTTGTTTCTTGTTTTTCTAAGATGTTAAATTTCCCCCAACAAGAACACGATACCATAAAGTAAAATGTGTCTCTCTAAGTGAGTCTATGCAACCATCATCATAATACCCAACAATTTGCATATTTCCCTTATTTTCATAAATAAAGCCTTTGCTAGGAGCCTATGGTAGGAGCATATAATATATCTAGGATTCGTGCAACTACAAATTTATGCCAGGATTAGTCACAGTGAAAAAATTTAGCTTGCCCACTATCCATTTTAGTAGTCTCTCTCTAAGTTAGAAATGAGATTTGCTTGACCATAGCGTGGGATTCGGATAAATGGATTGTGGGTCCTATGCTATGCTATGAAGGTCTCAACATGTCGATCAGACATTCTCACACATGGATACTTACAACTAATAGAGCTAGATGGAGCGAACTTTAGTTGGTTTCAGTTTAGCTGAAGCCTCTATATAGTTGTAGTCCCATCAAAAGTTTTGAATCGGGTTCAGCTCCGCAAGTCTAGAATTGACCATCAACGGCTAACTCAATAGTCTGGATCTCCTAGGATCTGGGTACAACTCTCCTTGATCTGGTACAAGTTGGATACTTAAATCAATTGCTGTATCTACTGACTTAGCATTTAACATCCGTATTTCTTACAAAATATCTAAAACATATTTTCTTTAGGATATGATTGAACTAACCTTGGATAAGCAACTTCGTATCAAGGAAATACGACAAATGTCCAAGATCTTTTGTTTGGAATTGCTGAGCAAGATATTGTTTTAGATGGACAATACCCTCTTTATTGCTACATGTGATAACAATGTCATCTGTGTATATGATAAGTTAGGGAGAATAACGGTAAAATAATGAATGATTGAATTCTGCATATCATTAATTGCTGAATTACAGTCTGAAAATATCCAAACCATGTACGAGGTGATTTCTTAAGGCTATAGAGGAATGTATGAAGACAACACACCTTATGAGATAACTTCCTTTGAGCAAAAATATTATTGATGATAGAGTTAAAAATGTCAAGGGTGTAAGCCTTTGTTACAAAATGAACAATAGAAGACAAACCAATAATAAAAATGATTGAATCCTTTTCTCAGGAAGAACCACTTCTTCACTCAGCCCCACCAAATATTCCTCCTAACTAATACCCTCATTCCTTTCTAGATCCCAACTTCCCTCTATAGAATTCTTTTCATCTCTCTCTGCTCTAGTCATTTGCCACCTGTCCTTTTTGTTATGCCCCCTGACCGCTTTTCTTCTTTATTTTTTAGCTCCTAAAAGCAGAATAAGCCCAACAATGGACCCATCAATTTATTTTAGTCCTTAATCCCAAATACCATATAGATTTTGTTTATTTGACTAACAATTATAAGCCTAACTTAACCTCACAAAACCTTACAAGATGAGGTTGACACTCACTTATATTCTTTATTTTTCCTATATTTCTAGACAGTGTGAAATCTTCAAAAGTTTAAGTATTTTAAAATATTTGTTTTAACTACATTTAAGTAGAAGACATTTGGATGAAGGGTTGAAACGGGCTTTATTTTTCAAATTATACAGAAAGGATCAATTTTAAACTTATTTAAGCCTTATAAATAATATACATGTGTATACCTTCAATCCAAGACAACTTCAAATATCTCTCTTTTTTCGGGATATTAGTTCTGTAAGTTTGATTCTCTTGTCTCTTGTCTCTTTTTGCTTTTATTTTCCCGAGTGCCACCAGCAGTGGCTCTAAACCGTAGTATGTATAGTTTCCAGGTCAGAAGCCTCTGCTGGTTCTCCTTTTACTTGTGCACTGCAACACCCAGAACGTGGTACCCTTTGGCAGCTCAAACCTAGTTGTCAAGCCGCCTACAGCTGCTGCAACTGCAGTTTTATTTTCAAAATCTCTACTAAATCTTGCAATGCATTTTTCTTAGTGATAGGACACAAGTTCTGGGTGGTGGTGATGTCAGCCAACTGTAGTTCCACAGGCTGTAAACCCCTCAATACCACACATTTTTGGATATAAATTTTGTGAGGCCCCCAAAATTCAACAATAACAATAGTAATGTAATAATAACATAGAGGGGTCTGGTCAAAACACTTTTGGTTATTCTCTATTTTCTCCCTGCTCCTCCCATGTCCCGATTTGCATTGTGTTTCTGTGTATTGAGTTGGGCATGCTTTTCAAATAAGTTAACCCTACTGTCCAATATTTCTTGTTATGGTTTCGTAAATATGAATGTTATATGATGGGTATATACACTGATCCTGGACACTTATGAGTACCTACCTCAAATACTTGTTCACCCAAATCATTGTTTTGGTTGCTTGTTATTGAGCAATGGAATTTGAAACTTTATAAGCTTGGTGTCCTACCCTATTCTAAAAGTATAGCATTTACTTTGATGTGTGTCATGAATAAGGTATAAAATAACTGTATTTTGAAGAAAGGAAAAAAAAAAATAGAGGAAAGAAACATGGACAAAGATGCATTTTCTTTTGTTTAGTTGAAGAGAAAATGGAAGAAAAACTTGACTTCTATAATTTTTTTTTTTAAAAAAACAACAACTTCCGTTACATTTTCTCTTCAATTCAATATTCAATTTTTTTGTCATCTCTCACTTTCTTTCTTCCCAATCAAACAGAGCCCTAGTTCTGTTTTTGAAAGTTTATATCTGTCCTCTTTACATCTCTTTCTATATTTTTACTTTTGAATTCTTTCTGGAGCAGATATGGTTAAAAACAAGGGCTTTCTGCCATCGGGACCTTCTGAGATACCTATTCAGCGAAATCAAATGAAAGAAATTATTAATTCTCTGCTTCCAGCTTGTAAAGAACCTGATATTGATTCTGGTGTCCCCTTTAAAGCAGATGCAATCATTGCCAATCCCCCTGCATATGGTATGCTTTCTTGTTTGTTACATGTAGGTAATATGTTTAGCTGAGTTTGTGCATCTATATTTTCTTATCAGGTGAATATGATGAGTTTCTAAATTATGAATAATGTTGGGTTGGTGTTTTCGTTAGCATACATGAGCATGCTTGAAAAACATGTTACTGCCATATTAAAGCAACATACAAGATTTCTAAGCAAAAATCAAATCTTTTTGAAGAGTACTTGACAAGGATTGATCAATTAGGAAGTCATATTTAATAAGATTTTATCTTCTGTCTGAGCTATAAAGGCCTAGAAGCTCATTTGGCACAATATCCCTATTTTCCTTTGCTAAGTAGTCTAGCTCATGGAAGGGCTCTATGATCATAGATTTGGGAAATCCAATTCATCTTTGGGAAAATAATATCATATCTGCCTCTTAAGATATCGGTGGTTCATACTTTGTAGTACCTAGTCATTGATTAACCTTTGGCTTAGGTTTATGAACTTTCCCAAAAGGCTTAGTTGTACAGACAATAGTTTTTTTGTTTCTTACCAACTTGAAAGACAAATGTTGAGGTTGAGCATTTGATAGGCCTCAACCTTGTATCAAGGTGGTCTATGCTAGGAGAAATATGGGTGAGGTAGAGGATTAGACTTGTGGCCTGTTGTCAGGAGTAATGAATTTTCAAAGGTCCTACAAATAGACAATTAACAGCATTAATAGTTTGTTAAAGGGTAGTTGATAGCTATGATATGGTCTTAAGTGAAAACAAAGGAAGGAAAAAGCAAATAATATATTAATTCTGAAAAACCCATAATATATATTTTCATAATACTTAGAAGAGGAGACAACAGCCCGCCAGATGTGTTTTTTTTTTTATTTCTCTTTGGTCAACATTGGCCTGCCTTTATTGTTTTTTTGTCCAGCTTGTTAACATCACTAGAATTAGGTATATGGCCCATGCTCATGGAAGATTGTTGAACCTGCAGTCCAAGCAGGTTAGGACTGGCTAGAATGTTGGTCTACAAATTTATTTTGGGTCGAACTAATTAAGCTAGAGGTGAAACTCATAGGTTAAAAAGACGAGGTCTGTGGGTTAAAGGGCTGGATGTGGTGGACCAATTACTTTCTTCCCTAACTATATATATTAGCCAGCCAGATGGGTTTTTCTGTTATTTCTCCTTGGTCAACTTTAGCTTGCCTTTGTTGGATTGGTGTCTGTTGAAAGTCCCACATCGCCTACCTCATATCATTTGGTATGGTTTAAATACATGTTAGGCTACTCCACATATTGCCAATTGGTTTTATGTTGGAATCTTAACATGGTATCAGAGCCAAAGCCTAACATCTTTCCGGTTATTGTCATGGGCTAAAAGTTGCCCTTTAGTTGGGTCAAAAGTACGCTTTGCCTGGTCCGACAGGCTTCGTTGGAGGGGGTGTGTTGAAAGTCCCACATCGCCTACCTCATATCATTTGGTATGGTTTAAATACATGTTAGGCTACTCCACATATTGCCAATTGGTTTTATGTTGGAATCTTAACAGTGTCCATTAAAGTAAATGGTAGAGAGAAATTGAATAAAATCCCGATTACTCAACCCATTATTGGCCACTATTAGATAACTCTTAATATTTAATTCCATGTTTTCAAGATTCATTCTTTGGTGTGAGAATTCCACGTTTTCGAGATGCATTCTTTATGAGGGGGTGTGTTGGAGATCTTACATCAATTAGAATATGACCAACTTATAATATATAATTGAGGTGAAAACTTCATTTTAAAAGTTAGTTTTGTAGGGTTAAGTTATATATCTCTTCATTTCTAATAATTTGCATCTTATGAAGTTGTTTTCTAATAATAATTATGCTCTTACTAGTGCAAATAATCCCTTGGAATATGATCTATATTGGTTCATCTACAAACCATAACCTACAACCAATCATGAAGGATGACACCTACCTTGAGAAGCCCACCATTGATGGTCTTCTCTGATCTAGGGATCATACAGCCCTAGGAATATGAAGATATGCCAACAAACTTTTTACACTCAAGGAAATTGATGAGGTCTTTGATGCAAACCACATAGTGTTATCAGCAAAGAGACAAAATATGGAAGAAAAACGGGAGGGATTTGATTACTTGACAGAAACAAAGAACAACTATGCATCAAGAGATATGATATGACCTCAAGATACCCTAGAGCACTGCTCAGTATTACAAAGAGATATTCTCTCTCCATACCCGTAAAACCGAATGCCCAAAGATGATCCCCCTTGACAAAAACAAACCTACTATATAGTTAATTATTTTCTCTCCCCTCTAACTAACTTCCACCTCAGCATATCTATTTTCCTTTTCCTATTTTCTTCTCCCTTCTCTTGTAAACCAACCATGTCTTGGGCTTGTTGGCAGCTTCCTGTATCAATAATTCTTCCGGCCCACTAACTTTCTTCTAATCCCCATCATTGCCACTCTCTTGAAAATTGATCTTGTCCTCAAGATGGAGAGGAGGGAACTGACTTTTGATCATAATGGCATCCTCCTCATGTAGCTTCCTCGGCTAGCTTTGCTGCCCATTGCACCAACAATTGTTTCAGTTTCTCTCCGTGTTTTAAGACTTCTTTGATGGCTAAAATGGAAGTAGGATTCCACAACTCTGCATCCTCTTCTCCCAATTTAGTAGGTAGTTTTGGTTGAGTCTGGTAGTTGTCAATTGCTTTCTTCAACAATGATACGTGAAAAACTGGGTGTATTCTTGAAGAGGATGGTAAGTTCAAACGATAAGCCACCTCACCAGCTCTGCTCAGCACTTCAAAAGGACTGTAGTACCTTGCTGTAAGTTTGGTATTGACCCTGGAAAAAACAGAATTCTGTCTATGAGGACGTAATTTCAGAAAAACTCATTCACCTACTTCAAATTCCTCTCTTGTCTTTTGAGATCTGCTTGGTTCTTCATTATGACCTGAGCCCTTGTAAGATGCTCCTTTAGTTGCCTTAAAATTTCATCTCTATCCCCCAACTCCTGTTGGACCGCTTCTACCCTTGTTTGTCCTTGGATCCCCCTTACCAAGTATGGAGGTTTCCTCCCATACACTGCCTCGAAAGGAGTCATTTGAGTGGATTCATGGTAGGATGTATTATACCAATACTCAGCCCACGGAAGCCAAACCACCCACTGTTTGGATTGATCAGTGATAAAACACCTCAAGTATGTCTCTAAGCTCCTATTCACCACCGCCGTTTGACTGTCCGATTGTGGATGATAAGCAATACTCATGTTAAGGGTTGTGTCTTGAAGTTTGAAAAACTCCTTTTAGAATTGACTTATGAAAATGGGGTCTCTATCACTGACTATGGAATTTGGAACCCCATGCAACATCACTATTTCTTTCACAAATGTTTCAGCCAATGTTCTGGCCGTGTAGGGATGCTTAAGTGGCACAAAGTGGACATACTTTGTTAGCCTATCTACCACTACCAGAATTGCTTCATATCCCTTAGATTTAGGCAGACCCGTAATGAAGTCTAAAGATATATCTTCCCAAACATTTTCTGGAATTGACAAAGATTGTAGCAACCCTCCTGGTGTAGTTGCTAAATATTTTTGTCTTTGGCAAGTGTCGCACGCACTCACATATTGCTGCACCCTCCTTTTCATCCCCTTCCAGTATATGTTAGCTGCCAACTACCTATAGGTTCTGAAATAACCAGAATGGCCCCCTTGAGGAGTCACATGAAATTCTTCTAAGATTTTTGGAATCCAATCAGAATTCGCAGCCACCACCAATTTGTTTTCAAATAATAGAACTCCGTGTTGGTAAGTAAAACCAGCAGGAACCTCTTCACCTTTCTTGATCTTTTCAATAATTTCCCTTAATTTTGTATCCTCATGCACTTCAGCCACAATGGCTTGACTATCCATCCACACCGGAAGGTACGTAAGACAACTTAATTCACCACTTTCCATCTGTCTTGATAAAGCATTAGCCCCTTTATTGTCCACCCCAGGCTTGTAAATTATATCAAAGTTATAACCCAACAATTTAGCTATCCAATTCTGCTGGTTACCAGAGATAACTTTCTGTTGAAGGAGTTGTTTAAGACTCTTATGATCTGTCAAAATCGAGAAATGCCTCCCAATAAGGTAAGGTCTCTAATGGTTCACAGCAAGAGCTACGACCATCAATTCTTTCTCATACGTGGACTTGTTCAAATTCTGAGTACTAAGAGCCTTACTAAAGAACGCCACTGGATGCTTGTTTTGCATCATTATTGCCCCTACTCCCAATCCGGAAGCATCACACTCCACCACAAATTCCTTGTTGAAATTCGGCAATACAAGCACCGGAGCTGTAGTTAACCTTTTCTTCAATGTGTCAAAAGCTGTTTGAGCCTTATCTCTCCATTTCAAGGCATCCTTAGTCAATTCTGTCAAGGGCCGAGCTATTTTACCGTAATTCCGAACAAACTTTCTGTAATAACTCGTCAAACCAAGGAAACCTCTTACCCCTTTCACATTCTTGGGGATTGGCCATTCAATTGCACTCCTTACTTTCTCCGGGTCCACTGTTACTCCCTCTTCTGATATGATATGTCCCAAATACTCCACCTGCCTCCTTGCCAAGAAACACTTCTTTTCACTGGCAAACAAAACCTGCTCTTGCAAAATTTGGAATACCTCCTCTAAGTGTTGCATATGCTGTTTCCAACTTTTAGAAAAGATTCAAATGTCGTCAGAGAATACCAAAACTGATTTCCTCAACTTACCTCGAAATATATCATTCATTAGACCTTGAAACGTCGAAGGAGCATTCATTAGCCCAAAGGGCATCACAAGGTACTGATAGTGACCCTCATGTGTCCTAAAGGCAGTCTTTTCTATGTCTTCTTCTCTCATCCTAACTTGATGGTAACCAGATTTTAAGTCCAATTTTGAGAAAAACTTTGCCCCATGCAACTCATCCAACAACTCCTCAATAACGGGAATTGAAAACTTATCCGGAATGGTCACCTTGTTCAACGCCCTGTAGTCTACACACATCTTCCACTTGTCTTTTTTCTTCACCAGAATCACCGGACTAGAAAACGAACTGCTGCTATGTCGAATAACCCCATTATCACATAATTCCTTGACTTGACGTTCAATCTCGTCTTTTTGATGATGTGCATAAGGACGCATGTTGATTGGGCCTTGACCCGGATAAAAGGTGATGCTATGTACTTTGGTTCTATTAGGGGGCAAACCTTGAGGTTCTTGAAAAACAGATTTAAATCGAGCCAATAAGCCTTATAAATCCTGCTTCTGCATTTGGTCCTGCACTGTCACCAACTCACTTTCACTTTCCCAAACTTCTGCCACTACCTTCTTAGTAGAAATCATTCCTTCTAACAAGTTAAGGATGTCTTGTTTTTTATTGTGCTGTGTTGTTCCTTTTAACTCGACCCATTCACCGTTATGCACAAAACTAAGAGACTGAAATTTCCAATCAATAATCATCTCCCCCAAGGAAGCAAGCCATGAAATTCCCAACACAACGTCAATATCTTCAAGATCGAACAGATAGGCGTCTAACACAAACGTCTGATGGCCCAATTTAATATGAAATTCCCGACACCTTCCACGTGTAATTCATTTATGGCCATCCCCCATCAAGATCTTCAAGTCTCTCGTCTCTTCTATCGACCATCCCATTGCCTCCACTAAACTTCTAGAGATAAAGGTGTGAGTGGCTCCGCTATCCACCAAAACACATACAGGAATGTCATGAATTTCACCCTCAAGCTTCAATGTTTTCAGTTGCGACATGTCCTCAACCTGGTGCCACAGATTACACAAGTGAAGAATAGAACATTCTCCATCAATTCGGTCCGTATCGTGCAAAATCACGTATTCAGAATCAGAATGATCATCGTTGATATCTCCTTCATCAGTCAGCATTAACTTCAATTGTTTTCTCGGACAAACGTGTTGAGGTGAATAGGTTCCACCACATTTAAAGCAGAGGCCACATTGCCTTCTATCCATAAGCTCATTATATGACATCTGTTCCTCACGTGAATTAGACCCCAGTCCATTCGTTCCACCTGTGAAAACATGACCCCTAGCCCCTTTCTCAATTTTTGTTTGATTTCTAGATACCACACTTGAATTGGGCCTTGCAGGCCAATGCGACCCACGTAGATCCATCCTTCCTGGTGAAAAGACCAATATGCCCTTACCCCTAAGTTCACCTCTACTGTTCGTGTGATGTTAAGCAAACGTGAACGAGTTAGAGTCCCCATAGCTTGCATACTCCTCACACGATCACAAATATCTTCCTTCAATCCACGTGTAAAGAATGAAAAATACTGTTTGTCTAGAATTCAGGGAATCTGTGCCATTAAAAACTCAAAATTCTGGATATATTCATCAACGTCATGGGTATGCTCCAACACCATAAGTTGATCATATGCATTCCCTTTTCCCAAACCTCCATAACGATCCAATAATGCTTCCTTCAACTGTTCCCAGGAGACATTTTCCCTTTCATTGAGAAACGAATTGAAAAAATGTATCGTCCCTCCTTCCATACACAATTGTGCTAGACGCACGCGTACTGAATCTCTTGTATTTTGAATCTGGAAATAAACTTCGGCATGTGATATCCAACCGGCGGGGTCCTCGCCGTTGAACGACGGAAGTTCGACCTTCTTTACAGATTGCCTAAATTCCTCCAAAGCATCTCCCTGGAGTTTGGGGTCTCCATCACTCTTGTTCCCTTCCGAAATGCCTTTTCCATCCTCCTTTTCGTCTTCGGGTCCGTCATTGGATGAATGAACTCCCTCACCATGGTTCTCTGACATCTCTCCACTCCTCCCTATATCCTTGGCAAAGCCACTCAGGCTTTGAACAATAAACTCCATCATCTTCTTCTGATTTTCCTCTATTGTCAATCGTAAACCGGACAGTTCCTTTTCCACCGTTTCCAAACGAGAATCCACCGTTTCATTAGACATCAGTGTTGCGTTCGCTGGTTTCTTGTTTCTTGGCATTCACGGAAGTGTTTGATCCGGCAGGTCGGACCAATTTGATGCAAACCACACAGTGTTATCAGCAAAGAGACAAAATATGGAAGAAAAACAGGAGGGATTTGATTACTTGACAGAAACAAAGAATAACTATGCATCAAGAGATATGACCTCAAGATACCCCAGAGCACTGTTCAGTATTACAAAGAGATATTCTCTCTCCATACCCGTAAAACCGAATGCCCAAAGATGATTCCCCTTGACAGAAACAAACCTACTATATAGTTAATTATTTTCTCTCCCCTCTAACTAACTTCCGCCTTAGCATATCTATTTCCTTTTCCTATTTTCTTCTCCCTTCTCTTGTAAACCAACCACGTCTTGGGCTTGCTTGCTGGCAGCTTCCTGCATCAATAATTCTTCCGGTCCACTAACTTTCTCCTTATCCCCATCAGTCTTCCTTAGGAGTTGAAAGATCTATCAACTCTTAGAAGGATTTCAGCCAAACATCTCAACCAAGAAAACCATTGAAAGTTCCAACCTTAGAGAAAAACACAAGGAACAAAGAGTCAAATGAAAATCAAATCAAGGTGAGTGAATGGGAAGAACACACTACCTTTGGAGACTCAAAGGATAAGTAATTGAGTACTTGAAGAAGCTTGTCGAGATAAGAATTTAAACTGTATCAAAGTTTCAAGACACTTAATCTCATAATCAAGTAATTTCATATATCTCGTGTGAAAAATACAACAGAGGAGCATTCTATTTATAGGATTATATAAGGGGCGTTCAAGAAGCTAATCAAAGGTGTGTAAGAAGAGCCAAGTAACTAATCCTAGTGAAGATTAACCAATCATGGGCAAGAATCGTATATTTATGAATGAGAGGATGCTGCTACTCTGCTTCATGTAATCATGAGCTAGTGGTGCATGAACTACCAAGTAATTGGAGTTAGTTTATGACACTTACCTACTTTGTTTTTGAACGTGCTAGAAGGTTCTACAATATTCTAGAAGCAATGTTTCTTTTAAGAGATATTTATAACTCAGGCTTCCAGAAACCAATAAACCCTTAAATCTCATTGGTTCCTTTACCTCCCAGAATAGACTGTAAATGTCAGAACCTCTTCTTAGCAGTATATCTTAGTATCTAGGAATTTGTAGCCATGGCGGCCATGAACCATCATCTCTGTTGAAATGAAGAATGCATTTGTTCATGGACATTTACAGGAGAAGGTATCAATGAAAGCAATGCTAGTTTTGTATGTTCTCACAATATTTTCCATTCCACTTTCTCAATTTTGGGTTACTCTTTTAGGGAATATTATCTATCTTTCAGCTTTCTTGCTACTTGATCCTTTGGTATTCTTGTCTAATTAAATTAGCAAATATTAAGGTTCTATTCATATCTTGTACATTTCCATTGACATTGATTCCTCTTTAGGGCACACCCATGTGGCAGAGGCACTTAAAATTCCAGTTCATGTTTTTTTCACAATGCCATGGACGTAAGTTTCATCTTTTTTTCATAATCCTTTCTTTAGTTTTTTTTTTTTTTTTTTTTCATTTGTTGTTTTTCTATTTCTTCAATAATTAGTTGTATTTCTTGTAGTTTTCTGGGTGATTAAATTTTTCATTTTATGTACTTTATCATTTCTTACCAGGCCAACTACTGAATTTCCACACCCTCTGTCACGTGTAAAGCAACAGGCTGGTTATAGGGTGAATTCTTTGTTCATTTCGGTTTCTTATAATCCCTCCTAATTTTTTTCCTTCATTTTTATCTAAATATTGGCCATTTATATCTTCAGCTTTCATATCAAATAGTTGACTCTTTAATTTGGCTCGGAATACGGGACATGATTAATGATCTTAGGAAGAAAAAGTTGAAGCTACGACCGGTCACATATTTAAGTGGCTCACAAGGCTCTGAAACTGATGTTCCACATGCATATATATGGAGTCCTCATCTTGTTCCTAAACCAAAAGGTGGTTGCTCTAATTCCCATTCTTCACTGTTGATTTATAGTTTTTGCTCTGTGCTTCTGTGTGTTTGTTATTGTTATGATTTTCTTCCTGACTATTAAGAGGAAAAACTGGGAGAAATGAAAATTTTGTATTTGATTATATTGAGTTTGTACAAGTGATGAATTTTTGTTTACAGCAACAATATATAGACTATAGAAGCTCATCATACGAAATAGACCACGGGGAGATCAGTTACATTGAGTTTGAACTTGAGAAATTGAAACTGAGTAGGAGACAGGCTTGGTGAGAAGATCAGCCCACTGGTCAACATCTGGATACTGAACGCCATTGCTAGGCCAGGACCTTTTTGTGAATGAAAAAGAAATCAAGTTGCATTGTTTAGTTCATGCATGGAGGTCCGGATTATGAGATAGATGCACTGTACTAGTGTTATCACAAAGAATTAAGGGAGTGTGATCAGGTTTGATAATACCAGCTTTAGAATGTGTTTGCATGTGATGAACGTTAGTAGGTCTAGGAGGAGTGGAGACTTTAGATGAGGAGGGAGTAGACAGGTTGGGTAAAGGGTCAGAAATGTTATTAGAGGAGGGGGAGTTAGGAGTTGATGTGAGGAGGGATAGTGATAGATGGGGACACTGAAATGGATTCTGTGGGCGATGAGACGAAAGGTAGAGATAGGAATAGAGGGGCAGGTGAATTTATAGAAGACTATGGTGGTAACAGTTCAAGATAGGGGAATCTCTAGTTTCATTTAAAACGTCTTTTGTTATCTATATTTTTCCCAAAGAAAATAGACATTTGTCACCTTTGTGGGAGGTGGATTTATAGAAGACTAAGGTGGTAACAGTTCAAGATAGGGGAATCCAGTTTCATTTAAAATGTCTTTTGTTATCTATATTTTTCCCAAATAAAACGTCTTCTTCTTCATTCATGGTATTCATGTTTCACCAATAATTATACTACAGCGTCAGTGTTCATTAATATGAAGTTATCAAAAGCGGTTTTCATCTTTTGCCGCATGCCATCTTCTTTTGTCTAAAGCAGTTTTCAAACTATAATTAGGAAACGTGTTTTATTTTTTCTTTTTTCCAACTCGTTTTCAAAAACAGCTTTTCCAAATTTATCTATAAAACTGATTTTAAAAACTGAAAAACAAAACTAAATCAATCAAACCCTTAGTCCAAGGAACATCAAAGTTAATGGCAGCTTAGGGAAGTTTATTCATGAGATATACAATAGTGAGAAAGGCATGATCCCAAAAGGAGAGAAGAAGAAAAACTTAGCAAAGGACAGAATGATCTAACTCAATAATGTGACTATGCATACACCCAGGAACACCATTTTGGGCGGGGTTGTGATAACAGATGACATGATGTTGGGCACCTAATTGGTTATGGTAACTAGTGAAATTGATAAATTTAACACCCTGTTAGTTTGGACAGCTTTAGTTGAGGAGTTAAATTACAATTCAGCCATTGATTTGATTTGTTTAAAAATTGAAAGCACCTCAATTTATCTTAAGTAGATAGATCTACATAAAGCACAAAATGGGCTCAATAAATGCCATGCATTAAGAAATGTTATTTGGTGAAGGAACAAGAGAGGCTCCCCATTAGTCAATTTACACCAATTCCAAAGTGAATTATATGTTGTCGAAGTGGGAAGTTTATAGCTCTAACCATGCAACAAGTTGAACTTAAAGAAAGAGTAATTTATTAGCTGATGAAATATTACAGTGCTGGAAAAATAACGTGCATTACATGAGAATTTGAATGACCTAGCCTACGGTGTCTAGTGAGACCACTTCATGATTTTTGCTGAAAATGCTTGAGTTTGTGATTTCACTCAGCATCAATATGCATATATATATATATATATATATATATATATATTAGCAAAAAGAAGGATAATAGGAGAAAATCAGATAGGAGAACCTGTACCTATACCCAGACTTCCGATTACATAAATAACAGCAGATACATCTAGTCTTTTATTATCACCCCCCTCAAGTTATAGCATACAAATTGTGAATGCACCAAGCTTGGAACAAATAAACCTAATTGTTGAACCTTTTCATTTTGTTAAGGTGTCTACAAGTTGATCATTCAAACTAATTGATTTCGTAACAATCTCCTTGGACAATACCTTTTCATGAAAAAAATGGTAGTCAACTTGTGTATGGTTAGTCCTCTCATGAAACAGTGAGATAGAGGAAATGTGAATAGTTACTTGGTTGTCACAATATAGCCTCATTTTCTTAATCCAGAAAAGTTCACTAGCAACCAAGGCCATAGTTTGATATTATTCAGCTCTAGATTGGCCAACTATACTTTGTTTCTTTCTTTTACAAGAAACAACATTTCCTCCAATGGATACATAGTACCCTGTGGTAGATTGCCGAGGGGATCCTTCCCGATGTGCATTAGAATAGCCAATTACCTTAGTATTTTCCTAATCATCATAGAACAACCCCTGACCTGGAGAATATATATGAGGATGCAAACCACTGCATTCCAATGCATAAACTAACTAACTACCAAATTGCTAAAGAAATGTCATTTGTATTTATAGTGAGGTAGATGAGTTTACCAATTAACCTATGATATCTCTCTGGATTGCAGTAAGGTTCAACTTGATCTATCATTAATTTCTAATTTGAATCCATGGGACTGGCAATAGGTCTGCAATTTGCCATAGCTATTTCCTTTAGGATATTGACAGCGTATATCCTGTGACAGTCCAAATGCCCACTTTAGATTGGGCAACTTCATCTGTAAGAAATCATGGTGGAATCTAGGGGGAACAACATAGTGATGGAGATGATTAGGCTTGCTGATGCCATCGAAAAAGTTTTTTGTTATCTACTTTTTTACTACTTTGATGCAAATTGTTTGGTGGGTGAAGGCACAATTATGGATCAAAATCCTCTTAATTAATACCACATTAAGAGAAAAGCTATGAGAAAAAGGAAAACTTCGTATTGATTACGCTGGATTTGTGCAAGTGACGATGAGCTTCAATTTGCAGCAATTATATGTAGACTTTGAAACCTCATCTAAGTGATTACGTTGACTATAACAACCTAAGAGTGGCAACTATAACAAACTAATAAAATACAACTGATAATGACAATGGTAATAGACTATGTAACATAACATAACTGATGAAAGGAGTTATTCACTTACCCTGTCTAACGAAACAATGATGATAAATTATTTCTTTCAATTAAGAAAGAAAAAAGAGTGTGGGAGGGATCCTATCAGTTCTGGAACAAAGCCTTTTCCTTTTATGGAATAAAGCTCCAAAATTCCCTTGATTGACTGATTGTAGTTCAATCGGTGGGTAACTGTTAGTAGTAGTCTTTCAAGCTTAAGTTCTGTTTAAACAATTTTATTTTCTGATTAATCATTACTGTCTCATTGATAAAAATGTCTAGTTCTTAAAATAAAAACCTATACTAAATTTTTTACTTGATTCTTGGTTGAAGTATCTGATGTGTTCTGGTTTATAGATTGGGGACCAAAAATTGATGTAGTAGGATTTTGCTTTCTTGATCTTGCGTCAAACTATGAACCACCTGAGTCCCTGGTAAAATGGCTTGAAGATGGTGACAATCCTATTTACATTGGATTTGGTAGCCTGGTAAATATTTTCTTCCTTTCCTTGTATATTTTATCCTTTCACATATCATTTTTGTATGCTAGACCTAATTGTAGTAACTTTGCATCGACTCTTTAGCCTGGCAATTCTAAAGTGTTTATGTGAATGTTTGCTGATGTGAAGGTCATTGCTTGAAAAATAGTGTTTTTTAATTTCCAGCTAGCCCTGTGTATGTCAATGTTCTATAAGATTTTGTCAACCAAGATATGAAATCTAAATTATCTCCAAATGTTAATACAAATGGACTAGAATATTTGATGAAGTGAAGAATTTTAGAATGAGTATTTCACTCAGTCACAGTAGTGTGTGTATATATATATATATATATATATATATATATATATATATAAGAGAGAGAGAGAGAGATATTGCAGAAAAGAGTACAAGAGAAGATTGAGATGATAGGTTTAGACTAGGAGAACCTACTCTTTCTTTACATACGCTTTTCAGAATCCTTAAAAGAAAAACAGCTTTTACATGACTTTTTTCTATCTAACAATAGATATCACTGGACAACTAGTCTCTTTTCAATGCACCAAGTTTGGAACAAAAACTGAATTTTTAGACCTCTTAGTGACTTTGTCACGATATTCCAAGTTGATCATTTTAGCTAACAGATTCAGTAGTGATCTTTTTGGACAACACTTTTCACAAACAAAATGGCATTCAATATTCAATCTCCATGGGATGCATCGGTAAAAAAAAAAAAAACTCGTCTACTCCTCTTATCTTCTGTTATAACTCTATTAGTTAGTTGTTTCTTTTGTTATACCTAGTTGCCAATTCGTATAAATAGGAATTGCAAGTTATAGCACATACACAAACAATTGTAATCTTTTCCTCATATCTGAATGCAATTGGTTCCCACCATCATAAAGAATTACCGTACTTGGCGGTTTTGTGTAGACTACCGAGCCTTAAACAAAATCACAATTCCCGACAAATTTCCCATCCCATTAATTGAAGAGTTGTTGGACAAAATAGGAGGGCTCATTTTCAAAACTGGATTTAATCAGGATATCACCAAATCAGGATGAAGGAAGATGCCATTGCAAAAACCACTTTCCGCACACATGAATGACACTATGAATTTATGGCACTTCCATTTGGACTCACTAATGCACCTTTCTCTTTTCAATCATTAATGATAGAAGTTTTGCGGCAAGTACTCTAGAAATACATTTTAGTATTCTTTGATGATATCCTAATATACAGTCCTTCCATGGAAAAACACAAGCAACACCTGCAAAATGTATTAACATTACTGCAACAAAATAAATTGAAGATCAATGGCAAGAAATGTTCATTTGGCCAAGCAAATTTGGAATATCTAGCACATGTTATCTACTGGAGGAGTATCTGCAAATCCTAAGAAGTTGGATGCAATAACACTATGGCTTAAACCCAAGAATGTCACAAGTTTAAGGGGATTCTTAGGTCTTACTGGCTATTATAGGAGGTTTGTTCATAATTATGGAAGAATAGCAAGGCCATTGACCAACCTGATAAAGAAAAATGCCTTCCAATGGAATCTAGAGGTGCAAATTGCCTTCGAACAACTTAAGCAACCCATGACCAGATTACTTACATTAGCATTTCCTTAGCATTTCCTGACTTTTCAAAGCCTTTTGTGGTTGAAACTAATGCTTGTGGAACCGGATTAGGGGTTGCTCTAATGCAAGAAGGAAGACTCCTATCCTTCTAGAGCACTACCTTATGTGAAAGAAACCAAAGGAAATCAATATATGATCGTGAATTGATGGCAGTCGTGAAAACAGTGACACTACTTGTTGAGAAGCCACTTTATTATTAAAACTGACAAAAAAATTTGAAATTTTTGATAAATCAAAGGATACTTGGCGAGGAACCATACAAATGGATTTGCAAATTTGCAGGATATGATTTTGAAATACAGTACAAACCAAGGAAGAAAAACTTTGATGTCGATGCGCTTTCCAGGAGAAGTTCCTATTATGCCATGCCAGTTTTAAAAATTCAAGAGTTGGAGGAATGGGCTGAAGAGATCAAACAAGATGACAAATTAGAAAAAATCATGCAAGACCTAATTATTGATCCCACATCTCGTAAGGGTCATACTTTGAGGTATCAAAAGTTATTTTACAAGGAGAAAATGGTGCTATCCAAGTCTTCCTCCTAGATTCCAATCATTTTAAAAGAATTTCATTCATCCTTGGTAGGAGGACATTCAAGTATCTTCAGGACTTACAAAAGAATAGCAAGTCTAGTGTATTGAGAAGGGATGAAAACTGACAAAAAATTTTGTTACTGCTTGCGAAGTTTGTCAAAGAAACAAAAATGATAACTTATCTCCGGCAGGATTGCTACAACCATTACCAATCCCATCTCAAGTATGGACAGATATTTCTATGAATTTTATTAGAGGACTGCCCAAATCCACTGGGAACGATACAATCTTGCTGGTGGTTGACCGACTCACTAAATATGCCCATTTCATACCATTAGGGAACCACTACATTGCTATTGAAGTTGCTGTAGTATTTCTACAAGAAATTCTAAGATTGCATGGGTGTTCGTCTTCCATTGTTTCAGATCGTGACACTCTATTTTTAAGCAATTTCAGGAAAGTCCTTTGTAAAGCAACAGGTACACAACTGAAGTTTAGTTCAGCATATCATCCCCAAATTACAGACAAACAGAAGTGGTCAACCGATGTTTGGAAGTTTATTTATGGTGCTTAATTGGAACAAAGCCTAAGAAATGGGTCTCTTGTCTTCCTTGGGCAGAATTCTGGTTTAACACCAATTATAATGCTTCCAGCAAAATGTACCCTTTCAAAGTTTTGTATGGACATGATCCCCCTCACATTCTTAAGGGAACCATCATTCCTTCTCGCCTTGAAGAAGTCAACAAGCTTACAATTGCTTGAGATGAATTATTGGCTACTCTAAGAGAGAATTTGCTAATATCCCAAGATGTCATGTGAACAAATGCCAATTAACGCCAACGTGATATAGAATATGTAATCGGTGATTGGTGTTAACCTTACAAGAGAAGGTCCTTAGCTAAAAGGATTAATGAAAAACTCTCCCCTCGATTTTATGGTCCTTTCTAGGTGTTAAAAAAAGTAGGTGTTGTTGCTTACAAATTGGATCTTCAATCTCCCAGGAAAATTCATCTAGTCTTTCATATCTCTCTCCTCAAGAAGGCTATTGGTGATTCTTTCCAGTCCCAACCTTTACCACCAATGTTATTTAAGAATCAAGAATTATAGGTTTATTCAAACTCTATTTTAGATATTCGTGAACTACAACCTGACAATGTGGAAGTCTTAATTCAATGGCAGAATCTCCCTCCGAGTGAAAATAATTGGGAATCGGTGACTAAAATGCAAGAGGTTTATCCAACTTATCACCTTGAGGACAAGGTGAGTTTTTTAGGCGAGGGTATTGATAAGAATAAACCACCTATCACCAAGATATACACCTGCAAGAAACAAACAAAAAGAGTAACAATCCTGGACCACCATTAACAGGCACACAACACTCAAAGGATGCAAAGCAACCAACAGTTACAACCCATCCAAGGGGTATAAAGTCAAGGGATGCGAATCAAGGGGCATAACCCTTGGAATAGAGATATAACCATTAGGAAAAATTGTATCAATTGGGAACGATTGTTAGAAGCAATATAAATAGAAGTAATCCATATTAGGAAAGACACAACAAGGAAATTTCGAAAACCTATATCATAAAAATATCTCAAAATTATCTATGTTAATAGATGCCAAAAAAAGAAAGAACACTCAATAGGAGTTGTGAGCAAAACAAAACCAAATCAAGCTGAGTGATAAAAATAGAAACACTAACACAATGATGACTATGACCAACAACAATAGGGATTGAAATATGTACAAGTAACTTGAGAGATCTCCATTACTTAATGGAGAGATAGTTGAAGATGCACTAGTAACTATGTTAATAGATGTTAAAAAAGAAGGAACACTTAATAGGAGTCAGGAGCAAAATCAAGCCGAGTTATCAAAATAGAAACATTGGCACGATGATGATTGTTATGGTGGCAGCAATGGGGATTGAAATATGGACAAGCAACTTTAGAGATCTTCATTGCTTAATGGAGAGGTAGTTGAAGATGCACTAAAAGCTTTATTAATAGATGTTAAAAAAGAAGGAACACTCAATAGGAGTAAGAGCTAAACCAAACAAAATCAAGTTGAGTGATCAAAATAGAAACACCAGAATGACGATAACTGTGACAACAATAGTGACAGGGATTGAAATATGGACAAATAACTTGAGAGCACTTAAGGTAATCCCAAAAAACAAGGGATTGAATGTTAGAACTTTCTCTTCGTACCTATCTTAGTTTAGAAAACGACCTTAATAGCCAAAGCCTATAAATACGAGTGACTGTCTTGTAATTGGATATAGATAAACATTACATTGTAATACATCCTCTCCTATCTCAATACACGCGTGAACCCACCATTGGGCCCCCTTTTCTGTACTCTTCTAGAGTTGTTTCTCTCCTCCCCTGTTTTCTTTCTTCTTCTGGTTCGTTAGATATTGTTGCTCCTACGTTTGTCCATATCAAGTGATATCAGTCTTGGTCAATTCTTGATGGGCGTTGCAACTCGTAATGCTGAGATGATGAAAGAAATGGAAGAATGTATGGCTACTCGTCTTGCAGATCGGTTAGTCAAACTTGCGGGATCCCTTCAATGCACGTTGGCTATTGTACAAGAAATGGTCACACAGTCTTCTCTCGATGACACCCAGTCATCTAATGGGCGATCCACTCAAAGCCATACATCCTATTCGGGTGGAATAAGATTCCCACGCATTGAGTTTACAAGATTTAATGGCGAAAATGTAGACCAGTGGCTGTATCAATGTGAGAATTTTCTCCATTGATAAAACTCTAGCGACAATGTGGCAAACAACCATGGCTAAGCACACCGATTATTCTTTACTTTCTCGGAAGGGCTATAGTGCTCTAGTAAGAGAACGCTTTGGGGATATGTGCATGGAACCCCTAGTTGACCTTATGAACTTACGTCAGACCTCCAGTGTTGAAGAATATTATAATGAATTTGATACTATTATCAATAAACTGAATTTAACGGAAGCCCATAT